AATTGATAGGCCAACCATCTCCCTGGTTTATTAGCATTACAGAATGTATTTTGTTTCATAAACATTAAATTAGTTGCAGCTTGGTCAGCCATCAACATATTAAATTGTGTTTTTAACAACTTTATAGCTTCTTTAACCTTTTCATCTGAAGGGTTTAAAATCAAAGACTTCTCTTTTAGCTTAAGCTCATTTTCTAATTCTTTACGTTTCTGGGTCTGCTTTTGTCTATGAACATTATTCATTTTTATCAAAATCCCACGCATAAAGGCTTTACCTGCATCCCATACCATTGACATTGATGTTCCCTTATACATATTTGAAGCAAAATAGTCCTTTAAGCATTCCTTTAATTTTTGAACATTTTTTTCTTGTTTAAATAAGTTCTCGTTCACCCTCCAGGATCTCCTCTCCTCTTTTTCAGCAGCCAATTCCATCCAGACTGAACTATGATCCATCAATGACCTAGGAAAAATTTTTACGTTCTTCACCCTATTATATAAATCAAATCTTCTTGTAATCAAGAAGAAATCAATCCTTGAAAAAGATTGGTGTCTATCTGAGAAAAAGGTGAAGTCTCTTTCCTCTTGATTACGTTCACGCCAATAGTCTCTCAACTCCCAGTCCTCTTTCAAATCAAAAAAGGCTTTAGGTAATTTAGCCTGTTTAAAAAAAGTAGAAGAATCTTTTTTATCCTTTTGTGTATCTAAAACACCATTCCAGTCTCCCATTAATATCACAGACCTATAGTCCAGCAAAGTTATTTTCTGATGTAATAATCTATAAAATTGTTCCTGTTGCTGGTTTGGTGCGTACAATCCCACTATAAGTATTTTCTTACCATATAATCCAAGTTAAATCACAACATATCTTCCTTGAGGATCTGATTCTACCAGACAAGCTGGTAGACTTTGCTTAACATAAATAACCACACCCCCTTTTTTTCCAGGGGCAGGAGATACAAAGTGAGATCCCAAGCGAGCATTAGCTAAATATTTTTGATTTTTAAGTAAAATATGAGTTTCCTGCAAGCAGATAATATCATTATTATGTTGCTTTAGATAATGAAAGATTTTCTTTCTTTTCTGCAGGGAATTAAGACCATTAGCATTCCAGGTCAGGAACTTTGCCATCTCCCTCAACCAGGAGCCTGGAGAAGACTGCCTGAAGATCTGCCACTGAAGAATGTGTTGCAGAGCTCTTGGGTCTTGCTCCTCCCACCGGCATTGAAACACTCTCATGAGAAGATTCTTTAGCTTCTTTCTTCTGTTGTTCCTTTTCCTTACGTTTATGTGCTGCACGGGTCATTCTCTGCTCTTTGACCTCTATTTGACGCTGCCATTCCACCTGTAATTTTCCTTCAGACTGCTGTTCCACCTCCTTGCCATCCAGAACTTTCTGAATCATAGATGACGATGAACCTGCTCCCAGGACCGAGTTATAAAACTCTTTTGCTTTAGTAACTGTATTAAGTCTGTAACGTGTCCCCGCATGGCTCAACACAATACCCATCGGAATCTCCCATCTGAATGGCATCATTCTTGTTTTAAGTTCATTAGCTAAAAAAGCAAAATCTTTTCTATTTCTCAAAATTTTAGATGGGATTTCCTTTAGAATGATGACATCTTGGGCAGCAATCTGGAACCTCTTATTATAAAAAGCTTGTATGATTTCATTGTGCAGAGATCTCTTTGCAAAATAAATCACCACATCTCTTGGTAGATTCTTTTGCTTTGCAACCCAAGAGTTAACTCTGTAAATTTTTTCCACTTCTCTACGTAATCCATCTTTCTCCCTGTTCAAAACAACAGCAAGGTCATTAACCACCATCTCTGTCAAATCTCGATTCATGTCTTCTTTCAGACCCCTGATTCTCAGGGCATATTCCATTTCCCTGTACTGAGACATAAGAATATCATCTTGTGAAATTTCCATCTTTTTTTCCATATCTTCAAATTTATCTTCCAGGAAGTCAACTTTGTCTGCAACCTCTTCCACTCTGGAATCAAGCTTCTTGACCACAGAAGCCAATCCTGATAAGGCAGTTACTATATCTTGCCTCAAAATAGTATTATTCTGCTCTAAAAGCTCCTTCATTTCCCCTCTACTTTCAAATTTATTCTGTTCAAAAAGGTCCTTCATTTCCTCTCTGATTTGGGATACAGCATTTCCCATTATATCTTTCATATCTTGTACAGATAATACTGGCAGAGGAGGAGAAGGTGGTGATGTAGCTTTAGGTTGTTGTACTGATGATGTAGCTTTAGGTTGTTGTACTGATAAGATTGCAGGAGAAGAAGCCACCTTAGAAACTGTAGAAGCTGGTTGCCTCTTTGAAGCCATTTTTTAAAAATCTTGTTCTCTCTTTCTTCCTTCTTAAAAGAATAAAAAAGTACTAAAATCCTCAAAAATTAAAAAAACAAAGGAGAGTACAAAAGAAACTTCAAAGCCACCAAACCACTTTCAAAAAAAGAAAAGCTTAAAAAAAGTTTAAAAGAGAAAGAGCTATATAGTCCATTGCGTTCCGTTTAAGTCAATTCTTTCCGGAAGGAAAAAAAAAAAGGAACAAAGGCACTTTCAAATCACCATCTTACTTTCACTCTCCACACCAGCAAAGAAAAAAGAAAAAAAAAAAGAAATCAACATAGACTAAAAGAGAAATCAAACACTACAAGTAAAATCCTTTAAACAGCTCTGTCCGCTTTAAAAGTCACTCACCAGAACACTTTAAGCGCGGGGATGGTAGTGGCGTTTCACTTTGTTTCTGAGAAACAAAAACAGCTGGGAGGCGGAGATTAACACGAACTCCGAGGGAGTGCTCTTTCTACCCCCCCCAAAAATCCTGGGGGGGGGTTAAGAGGCTCTACCTCTATTCGTGTAGTTCTCTACCCCTTCCCTTCTCCCGGGAAGGGGATTTTGAGCCGCAGGCCAGCTGATGTCCGCTGTGCTCCGCAGATCTAATGCCGTCCCAGGAGGACGGCTACAATGTAGCCGCCATCACCGACGCTAACCACCCAGAAGGATAACTCAAAGAGTCACTTTCATGCAGCTTTGCCATGACACAAAATCAGCAGGGCATTTTGGATTTGTAAAAACTTTACATTTAATTAAACGGCAATTTTGGTGGCCATCCATGAAAAAGGACATCGAAAGCTATATAGCCAGTTGTCCAAAATGTGCCATGGCAAAGAGGTTGCAAGGGAAATTGCCAGGACTATTGCAAACAGTGGCAAGTCCCTTAGCCCCCTGGAGAGAAATAGCCATGGATTTTATAGTGGAATTGCCAGAAAGCAATGGGAATACTGTGGTCTGGACGGTCACGGACTTGTTTTCCAAACAGGTGCACTTTATCCCTTGCCAAAAGATTCCCACTGCAAAAGCCTTAGCAAAACTTTTCATCCAGCACATTTACAGATTGCCTGGGGCACCCCAACGCATCATCTCTGACAGGGGGGTGCAATTTACATCTGCATTTTGGAAGGAATTTTTGTCCCTCTTAGGAACCACTCAGGGACTGACATCTAGCCACCACCCACAAGGATATGGGGGGACTGAAAAAATGAACTCTGTACTTAAGCAATATTTAAGATGTTTTCTTAGTTTCCAGCAGACCGAGTGGGTGGACTTACTCCCCTTTGCAGAAGTTGCCTACAATAATGCAGTCCACTCCAGCACAGGTTACACTCCTTTTCAAATAGCCACCGGTCAAAGTTTCAACCCCATGCCAGAGTTAACCCCAGACGAACCAACGATCCCTTCGCTGAAAGAATGGATGGAAAAACTACAAAACACCTGGCCAATAGTTAGAAAAGCACTAGATGAAGCTAGGCAGACATACAAAGCACAAGCCGATAAAAAAGGGTTGAGCCTACACCATTCATTATAGGAGAAATGGTGTACTTATCTACAAAATACCTAAAGTCCCTACAGCCCTGTAAAAAACTTGGACCAAAATATATAGGACCTTTTCCAATTAAAAGAACCATAAATCCAGTAACAGTAGAATTAGACTTACCCAAAAATCTCAGGCAAATACACCCAATTTTTCATTGCAACTTGCTGAAAAGAGAGCATCAGTCACCTCTACGGCCAAAAATCCCCCCCCACCACCTCCAATCATGGTGAAGGGCGAACAACACTTCGAAATAAAGGAAATCCTTGACTCTAGGAGATATCATGGAGCAACTCAGTACCTAGTTGCCTGGAAACACCTCCCTCCCTCACAAAACGAGTGGGTCCATAAACGTCATGTCAGAGCCCCGAAGCTATTGAAGAAGTTTCACACAGAGTATCCTAACAAGCCTGACTAACTTTTATACCTGTTTTTTTTTCTTCCAGGTGGATCTCTCTTATTTTTGAGGGGGCCAGATGTCAGAATCCAATTATATTTCATCTTTAATCATCAAATATAGAAAACCCCAATTCTATCTTCTCTGGATTCTGCCATCAGAGGGAGAGAAGGGGGAGAACAAAGGGGCTTTATGGCCCTCACTTCCTTTAGTATACTTCTAAGGAACTGAATGTGTGTATTGCAACTTCAAAGAGTTTGAATGTGGTCAGCACCAAAAGGCCTCATCATAACAAAGGAGGCTATTTACCTTTCATGTAGTTTATCTGAAGTCTCCATCCAGACGGAAGAGAGGAAAAAAGGGGTGGGATTGTGATGCCTGAAACTATCACTGGAAGAGGGAGGTGATTGGGTGGGACTACTGGGGAACCCCTTAAAACCTCGAATGGGAGAGCTTGAACCCCAAGTCCTGTCTAGAACGCCTGCAACCATTTTCTCTTAATAAAGGATCCCTGTTGGAAGAATTATTCCAAGAGTTCTGTCTTCTTAAGATGCAAAGTGGGGTGGGTCCTTACAAAATAAACCTACCATTAACATTATAGACTGATCATTTATTTGTCAGTGGGCAAACATAAAAGATCAGCAGGGGATCAAATAATTTTTTCCCTCACTGTACATACATATACAAACAAACATGCCAAGAAAGAAAACATACCAGTAACTGGGGATCTCGATTTTCATCCATAGGACTAAGCCCAGTTATTATTTCGAGTAATACCTGGAAACAGATGGAAATTAATATGTGAAATACATATCACAAGTTTTCACCAAATATCACTGCACAACAAACAATGTAAAAAAATACTATTTTATTTCACCAAGGGATGCTCAATTATCTTAGGAACAAAGTAAGTTTCAATACAATTCCAAAAAGACTTAGTGTAAGGACCCACCTCAGCTAACTACCCAAGAAAGCAGAACTCTTTTAAATAATATTTTATTAATTTTCCAATTTTACATTTATGTATTTAAAAAGCAACGTGGTGGCTGGGTTAATAAATAGTTCCATAACAAAATCTTTAGTACAAATCTCAAGTGACAACATCAAATATTTCCTCTTTTCCCCTTAACATTTAAGCTAATACAGTTCTTATTATATCAACTCAGTACAAACATCATTATTAAATTTATCAATAAATTTTTAGCTTACATGTATCTTAATTATTTTTTACATTCAATCTTCATAAATAATCCATATCCTGTTATTAATTTTTTCCCAATTTTTAGTTTCCCATCAATATTCCAATTTAGCCTTTGATATTTATAATTTTCAAGCTTTAGGTAACCAAGATTTCTCTTATCTCAACTCATAACAGAATCTAATATCCAAAATACACATTTTATCTATTTGAATATAATCTTGTTCTATTTCCTAAAGGTTATCTATTTCCCACCATATTAAATCATCTACTTAATAATACAATATCCCAGTTAATAAATCAAAACCATTGTATATATTACCTGGGTTAATAAATAAACATATTCATAATAATAATTTTTTTCCTTTTAGGTCTAATTTTTAAATATTAAACAGATAAAATCCTTATTTTCAACTAATTTCCAAATATTTTAAATCTAATGAAGAAAGCAGAACTCTTGAAACAGACATTGTCTCAAAAGGAAACTTTTATTAGGGGTTAGTGACAGTAGGGAAGTCAAGGCGAGATCGCTCAAACATATAGTTAAACCAGCAATATTCCTCCTCCCACCAGAGTCATAATGTCCATTTGAAATCCAGCCAATCCAGAGGTGGCATGATATGTGCGTAACTGGCACAGTTGGCTCGCATCTCAAGGTCTTCTCCAGTTTCGTTTCTCTATAACCGTCTCCCTGATAAGGGAGACACATTCCTTTCTCAAATGGATAGAGGCGGGAGGAAAAGTAGAAAGCAAAAGTTATCCCAAGCAAAAGCAAATGTCTCCCCTCCCTCCAGTAGAATGGCAGGCCCCAAAACAAAAGCTCAAGAATATATATGCAAGATAGACAATAAGGATTTTGGGACCTGACATACAGCCCCCTAGAAGAACAGGAAATCCACCTAAAAGACAAAAAGGGAAGGGGAACAAACAATACAGGCATATAAATTAGGTTTATCAGGATATTGAGAATGGAATGTCTTAGAAGTTTAGGGGTTCTAACACGTTGCTTGTACACCCAGTCATTCTGGGCAGAAGGAAGATTCTTCCAAGCTACTAAGTATTGTGTCACCCAATGGTGTATTCGAGAGTCCAAAATGTCCTTAATCTCAAAGTGTTGTTCACCCTCAACCATGACAAGTGTGGATGCCTGAGGTGCAGGAGATCTAAGGTTAGAAGTGACCTCCAGTTTGAGGAAACTAGTGGAAAACAGAGTGGATTTTCAGTAAGTTCTTTGGCAAGTCCAATTCAACCGTCACAGGATTGATGTTGTGTTTGATACAAATTTAGGGCCTAACTTCTTAGAAGGTTGTAAAGATTGCAAATACTTTGTGGAGAGGTATTCTTGGTCTCCAACTTTATATGGTTTTTGTTCCACCCTCCGTTTATAGGCTTGAGTCTTATAGGCTTCTCTGGCTTCATCCAGAGCTTTCCTGACTACTGGCCAGGTATTTTGTAACTGTTTATTTGACTCTTTCAAGGAAGAAATTTCTGGCTTCTTGGTAGGGAGTTCAGGCATGGCCACAAATGTTTGACCATTAGCTACTTGAAATGGAGTGAAACCTGTACTAGAGTGCACAGCATTACTAAAAGCCACCCCAGCAAATGATAACAGGTCAGACCAATTGTCCTGCTGATAATTAATGAAACTTCTCAGGTATTGTTCTAGAACTGAGTTCAGTCTCTCTGTCCCCCCATTCGTTTGAGGATGATGTGAAGATGATAATCCTTGACTAGAACCCATCAAGTCCAGAAAAGCTTTCCAGAACTTAGAGGTGAATTGAACCTCTCTGTCTGAAATTATACATTGTGGGGCCCCATGAAAGCGATAATACGTTTTGCACAAAGAGTTTAGCTAAGGTTTTTGCAGTTGGGATCGTGGGGAATGGAATGAAATGAACTTGTCTAGAGAACAAATCCATTAAGACCCAAATTACAGTGTTTCCAGTACTTTCAGGCAGTTGCACAATAAAATCCATAGAGATCTCTCTCTAGGGTGCTGATGGACTGGCTATCGGTTGAAGCAGTCCTGGGGATTTCCCTTGCCGCAATTTAGCTGCTGTGCATGTGGGGGAGCTGGTGACGTAGCTTTCTATGTCCTTTTTCAATGCAGGCTACCAAAATTGCCTTTTAATGAAATGTAAGGTCTTCACAAGTCCAAAATGCCCAGCAGTTTTTGAGTCATGCCCTGCTTGCATTACTTTAAGCCTTAACGCTGCTGGGACATAAAGTTTTTCTCCAATCCATGCTAATCCATCTTTTAACACACAGAGATTATTGTGGTTTTGAATCCACTCATTGGATTCTAATGCAGTTTTAAAATCCTGCAACAAAGTCTTTCCAACAGGAGCCACAGGTTTTGACTGAGCTCTGGTGGTTACAGGGGCTGCTAATTGATGAGGATGTAAAAATGGTTTAGTCACCTCTGCTTTCTTACTGTTATATTGTGGTAACCTGGATAATGCGTCAGCTAAAAAATTCTTTTCCCCAGGGAGGTAATGAATAGTGAAATCAAAATGATGGAAATGTTGGGACCATCTTGCTTGTTCAGGGAAGAACTTCCTGAGGGTTTTCATAGCTTCAAGATTCTTATGATTAGTCCATACTTGAAATGGTATTTTACTCCCCTCTAGGAAATGCCTCCAAGTGAGGAGAGCCCATCGTACCACATATGCCTCTTTCTCCCAAGCTGTCCACCTCTGCTCAGTCTCATAATTTCCTAGAGGTGTAAGCACAAGGTTGTAATTGTCCTTCCTTATTTCTCTGCAATAAAACTGCTCCCACAGTCATATCACTTGCATCCGCTTGAATTATAAATGGCTGTTCTGGGTCCGGATGTTTCAAAACTGGCTCCATAGAAAAAAGACTCTTAGGTTTCTCAAAGGCTGCTTGACACTCTCCTGTCCATTTTAATGGTTGACTGGGCTTTGGCTTATCCCCCCCCCCTCTGGTTTTTAACAAGTTTGTTATTGGGAGGGCTATCTGTGCAAAAGATGGGATGAATTATCTGTAAAAGTTGGCAAATCCTGGGAAACTTTGGACCTGTTTCTGGTCTTTGGAGGAGCCCAGTCCAAGACTGCTCTCACTTTCTCCGGGTCCATCTCTATTCCCTTGTTGGATATATGATAGCACAAGTAATCAGTACGATCTTTGTGGAACTCACGCTTTGACAGTTTGGCGTACAGCTTCGCAGAGCACAGTTTTTTAAGTACCGTTCTGACCAGTTTAATGTGCTCATCTTGGTTTTGGTGTAGATAAGGATGTCCCAGGTCAACCAAAACCCCTTTATATAGATGATCCTGTAGGACCTCGTTAATCAGTTGCATGAATATTGCAGGATCCCCTTGTAGGCCAAATGGGAGAATTTTAAAGTACAAGCAACCAAGTGGGCAATTGAAAGCTGTTTTCCATTCATCCCTTTCCTTTATCCGTATACAGTAATAAGCTTCTCTCAAGTCTAGTTTGGGGGAAAAAATCCCTTTATATAAGTGCGCTAGCATTGTTTTGCATTAAAGGTAATGGATATATATTCTCCACGCACACAGCGTTCAGACTCCTATAATCCACACAGAGATGAAGAGAGCCATCTTTCTTTTCTCTGAATAGTACAGGGGCTGCTACCTGGAGTCTAGCCAGCTCTATGAAACCCCGCTCCAAATTCTTTTTGATGAACTTTCCCAGTTCATCTAATTCCCTGGGAGTCATAGAATACATTTTTGGTTGTGGCAGTGTGGCCCTGGGATGATCTCAATAGCATAGTTTGTGGATTGGTGAGGGGAGAGTTTGTCCACCCTTTGTTCACTGAAGGCTTCAGCCAAATCTCAGTATTCCATTAGGAGGACTCTCAAGTCTGACTCACTGAGGGCGGAGGCAAAATTGTGGTGTAATCCACATCTCCTGTTTTCTTTAGGAATAGGCGGGGCTCCCCCATGGGAATTTTAATTGTCCTTCTCTCCAGTTGACCATGGACTTCCATTTCTTTAACCAAGCCAGCCCCAGAACTAATGGCCACTCCATCCCTTGGGCCACAATAAAAGTTAGAGTCTCTGCATGATCCCCCAGGTCAATACATAAAGGTTTGGTGGCAAAGATGGCAGGCACCCCACCTGCAACCAAGTCGTCCAATTTGGCAGAAAGTAATTGGGGTTTTTAGCCTCTTGAGGGGTATTCCCATTTTCCCCACTAGTTCTGGGCTAATCATGCATCAGGTACACCCCAAGTCCAGCAAGGCGGCTAACTTTACTGTCTTTCCAGTGCCAGGTATAGAAAGTTCTAGGGGCACTGTTATGGGGTCAGTTGGCCCACTCACCAATGAGGTCATCCTCGTAGTCATCTTCCATCCCTTCTGTGCCATCGTAGCATGGAGTCAGAGCTCGACCCTCTCAATCGCGGTCCCAGGGGAGCTCTACAACTTCTTCGGACTTCATCACAGTCTCCCTGAGGTATGGTGAGACTCTCAGAGATCTTCCAGCCAGTAGACTGTCCCCCCTCTTGAGAGATGTCTTGCTACAGCAATCCACGGCTCAATGTCCTTCTTTACCTCATTTGAAACAGGTAGTGTTGCGAGATGGGGCAGGCGAACCTCATGCGGTCTCCCCTTGCTTCTCTGACTGCGGTCTGAAGCTTGGTCTCACTGGGCAATGTAGGTGCTTGTATTGATTGATCTCTACTTTCTCAGCTAGCAGGCACCAGTCGTACAGCCGGACTGGGGCTCCGCAAGTTACGCAGGCATTATATAGCTCTTCGTTGAGCCCATCCTGGAAATAGCTTACCAGGATGTCTTCCGGCCAGTGAAGGCGAGTGGCCAACTCTCTGAATTCTTCAGTGTATTCAGTGACTGTTCTCCTTCCCTGCTTCACTGTTTTTATGTGCTCACGGGCTTTCTTGTCTGCCAGCCGGTCTTCAAGACGTCTGCAGAGGGCAGCCATAAAGCGGTTGAAATTCCATAATTCAGGTGTGTTGCAATTGTACAGGGTCACCATCCGGTCAGCTGCTCTACCTTCCAAAGCTAGAGTAACTACTCAGACCTTCTTGACATTGGTAGGCAGTGTTCTTGCATACATTTGCATGTAGGTGAACACTTGTACCAGGAAATATCCCAATCGCAGATCATCAAACTTCACTCCAATTGGAATCGGCTTCAATTCGGCTGGTTGGGGTGGTCTGCCTCTGGTTCCATGAGACGGACGGCCTCGCCATGGTACTGCCTCCTGGGCTCCAGCCGCTGCCGTCTCTCGTACCTCCAATTCCTTCTCATACGATTCACCCTCCAACTCTTCCTCTGATTTCTTTCAGCTGCACTTTAATTTTGTTGAGGGCTTTTTTCACATATTCCATCACAGCTTCCATCATCCCCAATTTCAATCCCTCCTTTTCTCCATCTTTATCAGGAGGGGCAGGCTCTGGATTTTTTTTCTTTTTTCTTTTTCTTCCCTCCTCCTCCTCAGGTAAGGGCAACCTTCGGGGCTTTTTCTTCCCATGCTTCCTTTTTTCCAACCCCGAGTGACCATGTGGGTTCAATCTTCTTCACCAGAAGGTCCGGTTTCTTCCAGATCCCTGGAGTGGCTTTCATCTGATTTCAAACATAGGAGTTCCTCAGCCCATTTCTCTGCCTGGAATTCCTCCATGTGAAATTTAGTTGCGACTCCCCCAGTAGGGCAGCAACTTCTCCAGGTTGAGTACTATGCAGATCTCACCTTATGTAAGTACCTGCCTCAGCTAACCACCCAAGAAAGCAGAACTCTTGAAACAGGCATCTCAAAAGGAAACTTTTATTAGGGGTTAATGCCAGTAGGGAAGTCAAGGCAAGATCTGGGGAAAATCCTGCTCAAACGGTATAGTTAAACCAGCAATATTCCTCCTCCCACCAGAGTCATAACGTCCATTTAAAATCCAGCCACTCCACAGGTGGCACAATGTGTGGGTAACTGGCACAGTTGGCATGCATCACAAAATCTTCTCCAGTTTTGTTTCTCTGTAACCGTCTCCCTGATAAGAGAGACACATTCCTTTCTCAAATGGATAGAAGTGGGAGAGGAAAAGTAGAAAATGAAAGTTATCCCAAACGAAAGCAAATGCCCCCCTCCCTCCAATAGAATGGCAGGCCCCAAAACAAAACCACAAGAATTTATATGCAAGGTAGACAATAAGGATTTGGGGACCTGATACGTAGTTTATAACTAGTGATCAAAAGTGTAAAACTGAATATATGAAGAAATTGTATTTCCGAAATCTCTGTATGGCTATCACTAGACTTAGGATTATAATAGAAAGTTTTTCAAATTCTACATTTTATAGAGGGGGATTTGAAGTCTTTTCATGATAAATATTTAAATAAGTATCAGATATCTGCCTGAAAAAGAAATCAGATTATTGGACTACTGCAGTGATTGCGAACTTTTTAGAGACTGAGTGCCCTAAAACGGGCCCTGCCCCGCTTCACCCTCTGCCTTACCCCCGCTCTGCCCCACCCCATTTCCTGCCCTGCCTGCAGGGCCATTCACCGCCTCCAGGGCCCACCGCAGATCACCTAGGCAGCCCAGCAGTGCCATGGTGGCCACGCCTTCTGCCCGCGCCCCGCAGCATCAACTGTGTGCGATGGGGCATGAGGACAGAGTCTTGTCTACGCTGCCTGGCTGCCATGTCCTTGGCTGCACTGCTCCACATGAGCCATGGTCGGGGGTGACTCTCCTCCAGGGGGGCTGCTGATGAGGGGGGCGCGGGGGAAGGCGAGGCTGGGGCAATGGGATGTATGCCCACAGAGAGGGCTCTGAGTGCCACCTCTGGAACGCATGCCATAGGTTCACCACCACTGGACTAGTGTATCCCCTCTAACACTAGGAGTTAGGCTCTTAGGAAAACTCTGGCTTGAGATAAAATAATGGGCAATTCCCACTAAATCTCATTCATGACTTTCTTAGTGAAGAAAAATGAAATCCATCTACAAAAGCAGAGCAATTTAACAACTGAGACACTGGCATTACAAGAAACCTGGAGTTAAATTTAGTTGTGCATTGGACCATCCCAAAGTTGAAAAACAAGGTATAGTTTGTGAGTTACCAATAATTTTTCATTAAGCAAGATAATTTAAGAAACAGAAAGGCAGCACAAAGAGAAAACAATCTTCATTTACTGAGTTATTTTAAAAAATAACAACTTACCACGCCAAAACTGAAGATATCCGATTTAGGAGTTATCTCCCCTCTTAATGCCTCTGGAGCCATATAAGCTGCTGTCCCAACTATTCTATCTGTTAGAATAGTATGTGTAAATCTTACCGATGTCCTTGCAAGCCCAAAGTCAGAAAGTTTTGGCACAAATGTTTCTGTTAGTAAAATATTTGCACTGGGAAAAAAAAGTAAGCTAAAAGTTATTTTTTGCCTCCCCCCACTGAAATAACAAACAGAAATAACAGCTGGGTTGAATCCAAATGGTGGGGAACCTTTCTGTAATTCAGTTTGATAGGATCAAAATGAAAGGTCGAATCTGCTATGTAATGGAATCTTACTGTAGAAAAACGATCTTGCCAAAGAAACTACAATGGATGAGAACCAGGAAAGGGTAGTATAAAGGGAGGATGTAAGATAAACACGTAGGCAAAAATTTATCTGGGTCTCCAGAATTGGGAAAGGAAGAATACAAGCTGTAAAAGCCGCTGCAAGAGGAAATGGCATAAAATATCAGCTCAAAATAATTACCTGAATATGTCTAATATTTTATATTATTACTGTACATATGAATATGATTTAGTATATTTAAGGAAAGTAACAGGAAATATGAAGGAAGCAGTCAGAAAGAGTGCAACCTCATAGTACCTCAGCCAATGGGGAACGAGGAGGGATGTGGCAACTGGGACAGGGTTGTATAAAGAAGGGAATATTTTGGGTTGGAACCTTGGAAAGAACCAAGCTTTGATAGCTTCTCTCCCTGTTTATTGCAATAAATGAAACGAAAGTCTTTCACTGTGTCTTGGCTGGTTATTGGTCAGGCGAGCTTGCCTGTAGCCAGGAGCACATAACAAGTTCACAAGCAACTCAAGGAAAAAAGTAAATCTTACAGCCCTTTTTATCCCACTCCGTCACCCTTTAGAATGCTTTACACAGGAATTATTTTTATAGACATTACCTTTTAACATCTCGATGAATATGATTATTTTCATGCAAGAAAGAGATTCCATTTGATGTCCCATAAGCAATGTTGCATCTTGTTTCCCAAGGTATTGGTGAAGTGTTGTCCTTTATAAATAGGGAGAGTAGAAAAGTTTCAGCATTTTATCGGAATCACTTATTTTATTCAATAAAATTAAACTAACAAAAGAAGAAAAGCAAAGTTGAGAGCATTCTATTCCCAATAATAAGCAGCACTGACCAATTAAAGCTATAAAAACTCATGAGAATTTTTTTTTCAGGATAAGCTGCAACTAATAATAAGCTTGGATCTTATTTTTTCATGTCACTGATTCCATTAAATGAAACATCATATTTGGCAATTTGGGAAAGAAGTATATCTTTATCTCATTTTTATGTTTAAGTATTAGCTATCATGAACATTATCCCAATATAGAGATTTCTGTTTCATAAAAAGTGCAGTCACTTTCTAAATTTACACTGTAAATCACTCCTTTCATATTTGCTGACACTGAATATTAGTCAATTCTGTATGATTCTTATGAACAGAATATACAGTTACTAATATGTTCATATACGAGAGCAATTCGGTTATCAATGACAGACACTTGCAGATACAGAACTTTTATTATACACATTAGAAAACTACATTACATTACTTTTCAACATAATTGCCATTCAAATTGAGGCACTTGTCATAACGTCTTATAAAGTTTGAAATTCCTTAGTAGTAGTCATTCAGTGCCAAATCTGGGCTATCGAGGTGTGATCAAAAACATCCCAACGGAACTGCTTCAAAAATTCTTGGGTGCATCTAGCAGTGTGCAGGCGAGCATTATCATGAACCAACACCACACCAGAAATGGTGCCATAGAAAATCCCATCAAATGTGAAGATCCCAAAGGAGTACTGCTAGTGAAGTTCATGGAGCGTGGTTCGACCATCAATTCAAGAGTCTACTGTGAAACGTTACAAAAACTCAGACGGGCCATCCATAACAAGTGTCGGAGCTTACTGACTTCCAGTGTGGCATTGCCTACACACCACTAGACACACCCAAGAACTTTTGAAGCAGTTCCGTTGGGATGTTTTTGATCATACACACCCCCATAGCCTAGATTTGGCACCAAGTGATTACTACTATGAAATTTCAAACCTTGTAGGACGTTATGACAAGTGCCTCAATTATTATGTCGAAAAGCAATGTAATGTTGTAGTTTTCTAATGTGTATAATAAACGTTCTGTATCTGCAAGTGTCTGTCATTGATAACCAAATGGGGGTTTATTTCCGAATTGCCCTCATATCTTAACAAAGCAAAGTCTAGTCACTAATCAAAGAAAACTAGTCATGTTATAATGAGCCTTTTAACTACAGAATTTATGAATTACAATACGGGTAGTCCTCGACTTACAACCACAATTGAGCCCAAAATGTATGTTGTTAAGTGAGACATTTGTTAAGTGAATTTTGCCCCATTTTATGATCTTTCTTGCCTCAGTTGTGAACTGAATCATTGCAGGTGATAAGTTAGTAACATGGTTAAGTGAATCTGGCTTCCCCATTGACTTTGCTTGTCAGATGGTCACAAAAGGTGATCACATGATCTTGGGACACAGCAACGGTCATAAATATGAACCAGTTGCCAACCATCTGAATTTTGATCATTTGACCATGGGATTGCTGGAATGGTTGTAACTGTGAAAAATGGTCATAAGTCATTTTTTTCAGTGCCATTGTAACTTTGAACACTAAATGAATTGTTGTAAGTTAAGGACTACCTATATTTTATTATCTAGTAAAAGAAAATTTGAAAATACATTTAATGTTAGGAAAAACATTAAAATATACTTTAGCATTACATGAATAATATGGCTAAGATCTGTACCTTTCCCACTAACTCCAATAACACTGAATAAAGAGCAAAACTCTATTAAAGTTTTTCTGCCTTTACTCATTAAAGTTCAGTGTTTTGAAAAAATAAAAGCTATAGTTTATGAACCATTTTTCTAACAGATACTGTACTTTAAGCTAAGAACATTTTGCTCCTATTCAGGCTTAATAATCTCTAATTATTTTTAAAGATTAAAACATTTGACATATTCCTTCTAGCTGTACTAAATGAAGAGTAACAGTTTAACATTATGTCTGCAAAGGCTACATATTTTTTCTGAAATCTTGAACTGATTCATAATACATTTATTAGGAATTCAAACAGGAATTAATCTTATGTAGAAAAATGTTACAATGTTAATAAATTTTTTCTCCAAAATAATTAATCAAGAAATAGTTGACCTATACTAGAAAATCAGTCTCAATCAGCCATATGATTCCTGTTTCTCATTGTTATGTTTTAAAAAGTTAAATATTTAAAAAGTATGACCCTGCATGAATAGGTCAAGTTTCATACTTTTAGGCTTAAATACTAGAGAAAGCACTTACCAGACAAGCTAATCTATCAAGCAAAGAACCTTTGGGCATATAATCATACACCAAGCAAGGCTGATCAAAATCATTTGAGAAACCAAGCAATTCTACTAAGTTCTCATGTTGGCATCTGTAGACAAAATAGATAGTTTTATATTGCTGGGGCTTTCATATTTTTCAATATGTACCATTCTGAAAAACATAAGGGATATCTAAGTTACTTCTAGCTTTGACTATAAATTGTCTATGTACAGTAGAAACTGATTCAATGTCATCAGTGACTGATCTCATATTTTCTATCAAGTTCCAGCTGAGAAGCCCAACAAAGCAAAACACTAGAGACATTGCGTTCTCTAATGTAAACTTTATTAAGCATTAGCAAACCAGTAAGATAGAAGGAAAGCTAGCTCTGAGAATATGGCAGGAAACAGATAATTAAGAGTAAAACTTTCCCTCCCCTCTCCGACAGTTCAGGTCACATTGTCCAATTAATCTTCCAGCAATTGTTATGAGAAGAAACTTCAGTTTGCCACAACATCTCCTCAGTGGCTTTGGCTCTCACATTGATAAGGAACACCTGTGGATCCCAAACTGTCCCTTCTCTCCTCCCCCATAACTGTTGGCAACCTAGAACCACTACAATGGTCCTAAAAACAGTAAATTTTGTAGCTTGACAGGCCAGCCACCTAGAAGAGAAAGGGAATCTGGAAAACAAAAAGGAATACCCATCATTACTTCCTAATCTTTTCCTCGAACAGGTCCCAACTTCTGTGGGTACTTAGTGTGGAATCGTTTTACCAAACGATCCGCTTTTGTGTGCTGGGCTTTTATCCATCTAGCTTCTGATATCGGGTAACTCTCCCATTGGATTAAGTACTGCAACTTCTCTTTGTGGATTCTGAAATCGAGGATTTGCTTAACCTCATAATGCATTTCCCCTTCTACTATTATTGGGGCTGGGCTGCTGTCCCTACTGGTCTCATCATGGATCCCCTGTATGGCTTCAGTAAGCTACAATGGAATATTGAGTGCATTTTACCCAACAATCTTGGTAGTCTTGGATCTACTGTCACTGGGTTACTGACTTTTAAGATGGGGAAAGGAACTATGTACTTCGGTCTTAACTTCTTGCAAGTTTGTCTCAACTTAAGATACTTGGTAGACAGATACACTTTATCTCCTACATGGAACTGAGGAGCTCATTTTTTATCTGCTTGCTTTTTCTGACTTTCGGCTACCTTAGCTAAAGCCTTTTTTGTATCGCTCCAGACCCGTTGGAACGAACCCACCCTAAGTGACTACTTAGGGTGCTCGAAGAGGGGGGGGCTCCTCTGGGCACTCTGGTATTGGCACAAATTCCACTCCTGTGTCTAACTTAAATGGAGTGCTGCTGTGTACTGCATTGTTATACACCACCTCTGCAAACAGCAAAAGCTCTGCCCAGTTCATTTACTGGTAGTTGACATAACAATGCAGGTAGTGCTCTACTATGACATTAGCTTGTTCTGCAGATCCATTTGTACAGATGGAAAGAGGAACTGAGCCCTGGGAGGACCCAATCATCCTTATAAACTCTCTCCAGAACTTAGCAGTAAACTGGACTCCACGATCTGAAATGATGCGCTTAGATGCTCCATGTAGTCAGTAGATGTGTTGCAAAAACATATTTGTTGGCTTCTGGGCCAAGGGGAGTCCAGCACAAGCAATGAAGTGGGCTTGCTTGGAAAACAGGTCTATTACAGTCTAAATCACAATGCTTCCCCCACTCTCCGGCAGCTGCACTACAAAGTCCATGGCTATTTTCTCCAAGGGTCTGCAGCAGCCTATAATCTTTTGCTGGCCACGCAAACAGCATAGTTCCCCACATAGTTCTCAATGTCTTTCTTCATCTTTGGCCACAGAACTGGTGATTGGCATGATGCAGCGTCTTCAGGAACCCAAAGTGGCCTGCCTGCCTGCTCAGCATCATGGCTGTGTTGTAGGACTTGTAGCCGCAGATGGTCTGGGACATACAATTTGTTCCCTTTCCTTGCCTCATGGTCAATTCTCTCTGATGAGCCACAAACCATGCATCAGTTTGTAGCTCTTGCTTCAGCTGTTGGGCAAATGCATCAGTGGGTGAGTCATGGAATACATTTTTGATTTGGAAGCTTTGCCCCAAGCAGGATCTCAAGAGTACAGTCTGTGGGGCAGTGAGGGGGTAGGACGTCATACTCTTTCTTGCTGAACATCTCCATGAGGTCTTGGAGATTGCTGCTCCTCCCCTCCTCCGATGCTCCCTTGCTGTACTCAAGAGGTTTTCCTTGCCCATCCCACCTTCTCAGACTGCTCTTTTCTCTTGTCAGGAGGGCTTGGGACTTGCTTCCTCATAATCATTCACTTTGAGGCTTTCTTCCAATAGATCCTGGGCCTCCACGTGGCAAACCAAGCCAGGCCCAGAATCATCTCCTCTGCCATCTTTGGGATGACCATAAAACAGATAGTCTCTTGGTGGTCCCCAAATCCTAGATGCACCGGTTAATGGGTGCCATTAACCTGCTCGAATTTCACTAGGTTCTTGAGCTTCCTCACATGTAAACCTAATGTAAGGACCCACCTCAGCTAATCACCCAAGAAAGCAGAACTCTTGAAATAGGCATTGTCTCAAAAGGAAACTTTTATTAGGGGTTAGTGACATTAGGGAAGTCAAGGTGAGACCTGGGGAAAATCCCGCTTAAACAGTATAGTTAAACCAAATGTAAGGACCCACCCCACTTTGCATCTTAAGAAGACAGAACTCTTGGAATAATTCTTCCAACAGGAATCCTTTATTAAGAAGAAGTGGTTGCAGGCGTGCTAGACAGGACTTGGGGTCCAAGCTCTCCCATTCAAGGTTTTAAGGGGTTCCCCAGCAGTCCCACCCAATCACCCCCCCTTCCAGTGATAGTTTCAGGCATCACAATTCCACCCCTTTGTTCCTTTCTTCCGTCTGGATGGAGACTTCAGATAAACTACATGAAAGGTAAATAGCCCCCTTTGTTATGGTAAGGTTCTTTGGTGCTATTTACATTCAAACTCTTTGAGGTTGCAATAAACACATTCAATTCCTTAGAAGTATACTAAAGGAAGTGAGGGCCATATAGCCCCTTTGTTCTCCCCCTTCTCTCCCTCTTATGGCAGAATCCAGAGAAGGCAGAATTGGGGTTTTCTATATTTGATGATTAAAGATGAAATATAATTGGATTCTGACATCCGGCCCCTCTTAAAAATAAGAGAGATCCACCTGAAAGAAAACAAAACAGTATAAAACTTAGTCAGGCTTGTTAGGATACTCTGTGTGAAACTTCTTCAATAGCTTCGGGGCTCTGACATGACGTTTATGGACCCACTCGTTTTGTGAGGGAGGGAGGTGTTTCCAGGCAACTAGGTACTGAGTTGCTCCATGATATCTCCTAGAATCAAGGATTTCTTTTATTTCGAAGTGTTGTTCACCCTCCACCATGACTGGAGGTGGTGGTGGGGGGGGGATTTTTGGCCGTAGAGGTGACTGATGCTCTCTTTTCAGCAAGCTGCAATGAAAAATTGGGTGTATTTGCCTGAGATTTTTGGGTAATTCTAATTCTACTGTTACTGGATTTATGATTCTTTTAATTGGAAAAGGTCCTATATATTTTGGTCCAAGTTTTTTACAGGGCTGTAGGGACTTTAGGTATTTTGTAGATAAGTACACCATTTCTCCTATAATGAATGGTGTAGGCTCAACCCTTTTTTTATCGGCTTGTGCTTTGTATGCCTGCCTAGCTTCATCTAGTGCTTTTCTAACTATTGGCCAGGTGTTTTGTAGTTTTTCCATCCATTCTTTCAGCGAAGGGATCGTTGGTTCGTTTGGGGTTAATTCTGGCATGGGGTTGAAACTTTGACCGGTGGCTATTTGAAAAGGAGTGTACCCTGTGCTGGACTGCATTATTGTAGGCAACTTCTGCAAAAGGGAGTAAGTCCGCCCACTCGGTCTGCTGGAAACTAAGAAAACATCTTAAATATTGCTTAAGTACGGAGTTCATTTTTTCAGCCCCCCCATTTCCTTGAGGGTGGTGGCTAGATGTCAGTCCCTGAGTGGTTCCTAAGAGGGATAAAAATTCCTTCCAAAATGCAGACGTAAATTGCACCCCCCTGTCAGAGATGATGCGTTGGGGTGCCCCATGCAATCTGTAAATGTGCTGGATGAAAAGTTTTGCTAAGGCTTTTGCAGTGGGAATCTTTTGGCAAGGGATAAAGTGCACCTGTTTGGAAAACAAGTCCGTGACCGTCCAGACCACAGTATTCCCATTGCTTTCTGGCAATTCCACTATAAAATCCATGGCTATTTCTCTCCAGGGGGCTGAGGGACTTGCCACTGTTTGCAATAGTCCTGGCAATTTCCCTTGCAATCTCTTTTCCGTGGCACATTTTGGACAACTGGCTATATAACTTTCAATGTCCTTTTTTATGGATGGCCACCAAAATTGCCGTTTAATTAAATGTAAAGTTTTTACAAATCCAAAATGCCCTGCTCATCTATCACTATCACTGGAAGGGGGGTTCTGCAATTTCCATCATTCTCATGGCTGTTTCTTTTGGCTTAGCTGAAGACTTTCCGGGTTTGTTGATTGGGGATCTGTCTGGGTTGTGCTGGGGGGCCTTTGAGTGGCATTCTACAGCTCGATGCCCTTCTCTTCCGCACTTGAAACACCCCATTTGCTTCTTGGCTGTAGCCGATGATTTCACCGGTTCATGTGTCAGCTCAGGCGGGGGGCGGCTCCATTGTTTTCCTCGGCGGTGCCTCTTCAATATGTCGATCTCTGCTTCCTCTGCCAAGACGTACCATTCCTCAAGTCGGTGTGGGTCCCCTCGGGGCAGGCAAGCGTCATATAGTTCATAGTTTAGTCCGTCTTTGAAATGGCTAAGGAGGATGTCTTCTGGCCAATTCAGTTTGCTGGCAATGGCCCGGAATTCTTGTGTATATTCAGCCACCGGGCATTTGCCTTGCCTCATCGTTTTTATCCTTTCACGGGCTTTGTGATTAGCCAGGTGATCTTCAAATCGTCTTCTCAAAGAGGACATGAAACAGTTGAAGTTACTGAGTTCTGGGGCATTGGAGTCATGCAAGTTCAC